GGCTATACCTCTTGGGTCTCAGCCTTTGAGACTATGAGATTCTCCCCCTTACCTAATTCCTTACCTCCTCAGACCCCTACTGTGTGAGGATAGGGCATCATCATGATGAATATATAACCTGAGACTAAACAGGGTGCCTGGGTGGCTCAGTCAGTTAAGCGTCCAACTTCAGCTCAGGTCATGATTTCATGGTTTGTGGGTTCAAGTCGGGCTCTGCTGACAGCTCAGAGCCTGAAGTCTGCTTCTGATTCTGTGTCTCCCTCTCTCTCTGTCCTCTGCCACGTGTGCTCTATCTCTCTGCCTCTCAAAAATGAATAAATGCTAAATTTTTTTTTTAAAGAGCACCTATTCACTGCCCAAAGTCCTTTCTATTTCTTAAAAGATCTTTAATGTTTTGATTTTATTTATAAATTTTAATCATGTTTGTATTTCTTTTTCACTACTAGCTGGTAAGGTTAAATAATAAGACTAAAGCCATATAACAAGCAAGTGGTAAAGCTGGGATTTTAACCCAAGTTCATCCAACTGCAAAGCCTGTGCATTTTAGGGCTTGTCTGCTTTTGGATTACTCCCAGCTCTTGTATGCTATGATTTTACTAAGCCCAGGGCATATTTTGAATTTGGTTTTTTTTTTCCTAAGAAATTCCTGACATCAGTTTGTTGTTTTTGACTTGCCTTTTTCTCTGAAGTACCAAGTAATGAAAAATAATCAGTTAATTAACGGTTCCAGACTCAATCAACTTTTTAAGCATGCTAAATATTAAAATAATTCACATGGGTTGGGGTTAGGGTGTAGAGAAGGGAAGAAACAACTAAATTTTGTTTAAAGCACCAAATGCTTTTATTTCAATCCAGCAATGTTGGATTTTTAAACCACAGTATAGTTCTTTTGTCCATTTAGGCTTTTGTTGGTTTTTTTTTTCCAAAATTTTTATTCTCTTGGGTTTTGTTTGTTTGTTCATTCTTTTGTTTTACAAAAAACAGGATTGATTAGTTCTTCTGGAGATAGGCTTTTGCCATAAGACAGTGAAAATGCTATACTTATTGCAGTTTTTTTATTGGTTTATATTTTTAGTCCTTTAGATTGTAAGATTTAGGAGATGTAAAAAATTTATTTTTGCATGTTGGATGAATGTTTGCAATAGTAAAAAGACTGTATCCCATTGAGATATGGGATATAGGAAAGGTATAAGTTATGGGGAAAACTCAGACTTAGTCAGTATACTACTCCAAGATGGTAAACAACTTCAAAATGGTATCGGTAAACCAGGTTGTTCATGGCTGAGGCTGTTTAAAATTTCTTTTTTAACTAGAAAAGTCTACTAATCCCAAGCAATATGTCTCAATAGATCTATGAATGCCACCAGTTTCATAACTAAAAAACAACAATAACAACAACAGCGTGTTCTGGTGTTCATTTCTTTTTTTACTATCTGTGTTTATGTCTCATTAAGCTGTACAGGAAATCTGCTACTTGTTTATATTGCTGTGCCTTGGGAAAAGACAAAGAGACAACATTTTTTTCTAAAGCTATTTCACATTTTTCCACCTCTTATTATAACTCCCCCAAAATCATCTTTACAAAGATTTTTCAAAAGTTCTGTCACTTCAAAAGAGTAGTTTGAATCTCTTGTTAAAAATTGAATTGAAGGAACCAGAGCCATATTGGAGAGTTTCATTCAATTTTGTAATAATTTTGGGAAATATTTTCATTTTACACTTTATTCAGGAGAAAACTGTAGCTGGATTTCAGCAGAAGTAAAGTAAAAGCAAGAACAAATAACTTTTGTGATTAATTAGATGCGTATTAAGCATCTTCATCTAAGACATTGCCCTACTCTTTCTGTAGTGCAGATTTCATTTTCTTCTCATTCCTTGAAAACTATCACTTCCTATCACCTCCATAGCTTGCCTCTGCTTGGCTGTAGTCATTTTAACCTTTCACCAAACATAAACAGCCATATTCGGCACACGTATGTATGTTTTTATGTGCTTATGCATCTGCACCTTTTTTCAATTTTTCTTTATTTACTTTTGCATGTGACTCCCTTTTTTTTTTTTAATGTTTTATTTATTTCTAGGAGAGAGAGAGAGAGAGACAGCGTGAGCAGGGGAGGGTCAGAGAGAGAGGGAGATACAGACTCTGAAATAGGCTCCAGGCTCTGAGATGGCAGTCAGCACAGAGCCTGACGCAGGGCTCGAACCCACAAACCACGAGATCATGACCTAAGCGAAATTCGGACGCTTAACCGACTAAGCCACCCAGGTGCGCCATGACTCCCTTTTTAATGTTTATTTATTTTGAGAGAGATAGAAAAAGCACAAGTGGGAGAGGGGAGAAGAGAGAAAGAGAGAGAGAATCTCGAGCAGACTGCACTGTCAATGTGGAGCCTCATGTGGGTTCAATCCCACGAGATCATGACCTGAGCTGATATCAAGACTTAGGCGCTTAACCAACTGAGCCATCCAGGCTCTCCTGCATATGATCCCTTTTAATATATTTTAAACTCTGTGAAGAGAGAAACATTATCTTTCCTTGACCTTAAAAACATGTCTATAAATGGTATTCTCTTCATCCATTACTGATTGATTAAAAAAGAAAAAATAAACCTCCACATTCCTCAGTTAGCAGAAGTCAAGTAAGGAAAAGAATACCAATCGTATCACAAAAGACTTTATTGTCACTTTTAATCACTTGATCAAATCCTTATTTTTATCATGTTAGGCAAATGTTAGATTAGTCTTCCAAGAGAGAAGTTATATTAACTATTACAGGCCCATGTCATTTAAAGCAAATATAAAATAAAAATATAAAATCCATAAGAATTCTAATTTCACACACACACACACACACAAACACACACACACACACACACACACACACACACAATGTATAGTCAGTCATGGGAGCTTATGTAATATAAATCCTGCTAAACCTTAGCTAGTTTGTTCACTTCAAGATGGATAACGTGTTAGCAATATAATAGAGGGATTTTGTGCCACGTAAACCAAGAATTCAGAATGCAAACCATTGCACCCACAAGATAGGTTTGTTTTATCTGAGCTTGGAAGAAAAGGACCTATGAAAACAAACCAATTTGCTTCCAATCCAAATTATCAACCGGAGATATTCTTCAACAAATACCAGAAACAGATGTGAAGGCCTTTTCTCCACGATTGCAAGCCAGTAAATGATTTCTTGCCATTTTATCCCTTTATGATAAAACCTCAAGCTCCCATCCACACCAGGAGAGAGGAAAACCCCAGAAGAAATACAATACTATTTGGCTCAGTTTTTTTTTTTTTTCTTCATCTTTCCTGTAGATACTGGATGCATTACCAGGTCTCTCTACTGTGGATTTTATACTGACAATGTTTTTAGGATATTGCCTCATTAGAACATATTTTCCTCAGTCTGCAAAAGGAGCTTGCTTTCTGAGTTTTGGAGAGTTGACATATTAAGCATCTTTCCACTTTTAAAAGGGAGCGGGCTCGTGTAGGAATTAGTTGATGTTCCAAAATGACTGAATTTTCTTTTGAGAATGATTTATTGTTCTGGAGTTGGTATTTTCCAAAAGAAGCTAGTGTGCTAGCTTTTGAACCTTTGGAAGCATGAGTTCAAATCTGGCCCGCAGTAAGCCACAAGCAACAACACTTGGCCTGGTCTCAAACTATTCTCTGGGTTTCTACATCATCATACCCCACGCACAACTCAACACCATTAACACAACTGAAAACATCTGCTCGACAAAGATCCCAGATTTGGAAAGAAAGGATAACCAAATACTCTCAATACCTCACTATTAGAAAACCAAAACTTACCACTGATGTTCAAAAGCAAAGTCAGGAAACTATTTGAGATTCACATTGATTATAGGACCCTGGCCAAGGGGTTCTAGAATTCTTTTCACATATACAGATTTTTTTTACAGTGCCATTCACCTATACTTACAACTATTTGCCCACTTGGGTGGGCCCTCTCTAAAGCTAAATTTGTGAAGCTGTATCTCCTCAAAAAGCACATAGGTTGTAGGTTTCAAATTGGTGCAAAATGCCTTTGGTCCTTATGAACATGAACACAACCACAGATGTTCTGGAATGTGGGAAAGGATTGTATTTGAAAACACCAGCGGATAAAATGATTACAGTTCAAAACTACATGAAATAACTTGCAACAACTTTCTTGTCTTGTCTTTGGGACCCATTTTCCCCTACATTCCCCATCCTTTAAAAAATAGAGAGAAAAAGGGGTGCCTGGGTGGCTTAGTTGGTTAAGCGTCCGACTTTCGCTTAGGTCATGATCTCACGGTTCGTGGGTTCGAGCCCCGCGTCGGGCTCTGTGCTGACTGCCAGCTCAGAGCCTGGAGCCTGTTTCAGTCTGTGACTCCCTCTCTCTCTGACCCTCCCCTGCTCACGCTGTCTCTCTCTCTCTGTCTCCTAGAAATAAACATTTAAAAAAAAAAATAGAGAGAAAAAGATTAAAATTTTTTGGTAACAGGCAGAGGGCATTTGAATTAAATATTAAACGTAAAATCATTTCCTGAGAGAGTGTATGTTTGAATTTGACATTTCCCTTAAGTATGTAGTCCATTATCTTATGGCAGCCTATGAAGGGACCTCAACTCTCAGTTAAGCTGATCATAATTATACACATTTTATAGACTAATTCACTTTATATTGTCTTAAAATCCTATAACAGATATATATTCTAATTTATGTGATTAAGAACATTCAAAAGAAAAAAATGGTCATCTTTCTTAAGAAACGTTCTTACATGAAAGCATAAGAACAAGTGTACATAGATGTGCGTTTTGGACCATGGGTAAAGTAGGAAAGAGGAGAGTTCAAACTTGTCAAGAAGTTTTACCCAAAGGAATACACCAAAACCCCATCTTTATTAGGACATCAAAGTAATGGGCTGTTGTGTTTGAGGGACAAGCTCTGAGCAGAGGTGCAGAGGTCATAGGGGGGAATGGCAGAAAGATGCCCTCCTACCATACCTGTGTGCCAAGTTCCTCCTGGTTGGGTTAACTGCAGAGGCTGATCACCACACCTTTTTTATAGACACAGTTCAGTTTAGAATCTGATTGGGAGCACAGAGCAAAAGTCATGCTGTATCGGCATCTGTCCACTGGCACAAACAAAATAGGGAAAAAAGAGATACGGAGTAACTACAGCAATTTAGTCCATCAAAGGGCCTCCCAACAAATTCCCACAACCCCCCAGCAAGCCCATATATGACACCGAGCCAAGCTCCAAATTAACTGTTGCTGAGACCTGGGATGTAAAAGGAAGGGCAAAGCAGGCTGGTGAGCAGAGCCTAAAATTGAATAGTGAGCATATCCTGGCATCCTGGCAAAACTCTAATCATGAAATCCAAAGAATTTTAGAGCCAAAGGAATAGAAATTATCTGCTCTTATCTTCTAACTTTTTGTTAACTTGAAGATTCACAGCAGAGAGGGACAGAGCCAGCTGCAGAATCTGGTCTTTAACTCCCAGTTCAGTGCTATTTCCCCTGCCTTGTGCTTCTGTGATTTAGTGTATACTGAATGGCTGAAGCCAATGGCAGACCTGGCAAAGCCAACAGCAGTACTGGTGAAGCCAATGGCGGGACGAGAGAAACCTCTGGCTAGGACAGGTGTGGCTAGGGCATGGCTCTGTGCCTTGAGGTTTCAAGTAAATGAAGGACCCATAGCCCTAAATGGCTCATCTGCTTATTTAGGTTTCCTTTGTGTGGTATTGGAATGTGCCTGATTTCCATAGCTTCAGGAAGCTGATAAAAACTGGAATTTTAAAAAGAAAAATGTATAGTGAACGGTGGGTAAAGGAAAAGACATCTTACAAAAAATGGTTTCTCTGAAATTAATTTGCCGATTACAAGTTTTCTACACAATCTTTAAATACTTTAAGTTGGGCCTGAGTCAGCCTCATGTTGTTAATGACCTCATGTAACAACATTTCCCTGAGTACTCTATAATAATTCCTATTTATTCCACAGGGAGGGTTGGGGCAACAACCAGTTGATGTGTACCCCCCAAATGTAAGGAAAATACAAAGAAAGCTTACATTTTCTGTCTCCTTGAGTGGATAAGTCACAGAATGATAACTGTGGAAGAATTTTACAACTTTTTCTTAGTGTATAACGACCTTTTCACTAGCATGAGGCAAAGTAAGAAGTGTAGTGATTGTCATAAAAAACTAATTTTCCCTGATTTCAAGCATCTTATTCCGAGACAGCAAATTGTCATCTCATCTAAAAAAGGTAGACAATAGTAGACAACAGGCTTATTTTTAATATTATACTTGGCAAAATTAAATACTAACATTTCCATTTATTACTAATTTCATTTACCTGATCTTCTATTTCCTTATTAATAAGTGAAATAATAATAATTTCCCTATCCATCTCATAGAGGTGTAGTGAGGATCAATTAAAACAATAAATATAAGAATAATGTAAATAGGGTATGTGGCTTACTCAGTTGATTAAGCATCTGACTCTTGATTTTGGCTCAGGGCATGATCTCGTGGATCGCAGATTGGAGCCCCAGGTGGGGCTATGTGCTGACAGCACAAAGCCTGCTTGGGCTTCTCTTTCTCTCTTTCTCTCTGCCCCTCCCCCACTTGTGCACGTGCATGTTCTCTCTCTCTCTCTCTCTCAAAATAAGTAAATAAACATTAAGAAAGAATAATGTAAATGAATCTAGGTTTTTGATATATAGTTGTCAAGTATTATCATGATGGCGACCAATTAACTGTGTACTGTTAGGGGAAGGAGGAACAATGGAAGTTTTCCAGTTGAGATGAATAGAAATATATTCTATGCAGTAGAATATATTTAACTCTACTGATAAGATAAATGCAGTTGGAATTTTTAAGGGGTGTGCACTTTAGTTAAAGTTCATTTGGGAAAGCTTCATGGAAGCTATGCAATCAGGGAATGTTTGGTTTTGTCTATAGAGGTAAGAAGGGGTGTGCGTCTCCACTGAGCAGAAACCCAATTGTAGCAACAAAGAGATAGAAATAAGCAAACTTACCATGAAGGATGATGTAAGACTGCTCAGCTGAAGAACAAAATTCAGTGTTGGGAGAAGTGGCAGATAAATTTCAATACCCTAGGTGAACCCAATTGATAATGGACAATGAAAGGCAAAGTCCAGCGTTGTCATTTGCCCTGAAAAACATGAGTCATCAACAATTCCTCTTTCAGAGGGGAAGGAATGGCAAGTGGAAGTGATGCCCATGCACATAATTATCACATAGGACAGAGAGCCTCTTAAAATATGAGTGTAAATGAAGAAACCATGAGGTCTCAAGGCCTCTCACCTTTAAGAAATTCGATGAAAAACGTATCCAGCAGAAGTGTGAGAGGGCAGATCTAAATTAACAGACAGAAACAGAAAGGGGGGAAAGAATATCAGAAAGAGCTTAGACCATAGTTTTAATTGTATGAGGACTTCTTAAAAGGTCACTAGGACGTCCACAGCTTTTTCAAGACATGAATTCTATGCCCAGTCCTCAGACACAAGCCAAACTAACCAACTCTTGATATTCTGTAAGATATCCACAGCTTCTGTGTAGTTTTGCAATAAACGTTTTCTCCAAAATACCATCCATTTACTCAAGTGAACAAATATATAAGCATTGCTAGTATCTTTCTCACCAGAAGATTATTTAGAAAAGATATATAAATGAAAGACTAAATTACAGTTATCCTGAATCTTTTTATCTCATTTAATCCTTTTTCTTTCAAGTAATAAGAAATAGCAGGTACATCAGCAAAGGCTTGAAGTTGGAAAGCAGAAAACCTGAGTTCCTGTCCTAGTTCTGCCACTAATTAGCTAAGAGGGAAAATTATTTAGTCTTTCAATGTTAGTTTCCTCCTTTTTAAAATTATGAGGTTAAAATATGTTAATCTCTAAGGTTTATTTTTAAATTATGGGGTTAAACAAGTTAACCTCCAGGATTGATTTTTCAGCCTTAACATTTCCCAGCTGTAATTTCTTAGTCCTGCAACCCTGTAGTGAGTACTTGACTACCTAGTCTAGGTAGTCGTAGATAAAAGTGTTTTTTGGGAAGAAAGAAATGAAGCTGTCTATAAAACTTTGTAAAACAGTGTATTCTTTTTTTAGTTTTGCATAAAGCTATTTTTACAGATCCATTTCAACATTATTGAGGATATGAAACCCATGGACCTTACTATTCTAAATAAAATAAATTACTGAATGTCATTTGAATCTATGGAGACATATGATAAAGGAAAAGAATATTTAAAATAAAACAAAGTACAATCTGTAAAACCTAACTGCGTGAAAGCTATAGCATTGTTGTTCCCACAAGTTCCGTTTACAGAATATTTTTCCATTAGGGATACATACATATAAGCACGTGTGTACACATATATAGACACACAGATGTGCAGAAACTGAACACAAAGTCAATGTGTGTGTGTGTGTGTGTGTGTGTGTGTGTGTGTGTGTGTGAGATGCATGTATCATAGAAAATGACATCAGAGTACCTTCCATCTGTGGAGATATGGAGCCTATCAAACTACTGGAAAGAGAATTTTATGTTCACTACTCAGAAAAACAGTCAAGTGTTTGTATATTGTATATTAGAGTTTTGGGGTCAAATAGCAAACTCATGGTTTACCTTGTTTTTAAAGAAAACCTAATATATTCCCCAAATTTAGACTCTTAAGAATATATCTTATTAGCCCTTGGGACATTGTTCTGGGAGTATGGCCTAATCAAAAGATCAGAGATTATAGTTGATAATGAGCAGAATGAGAAGATGTATTTCTGTTGTGATTTGGTTAATTGCTGCAGTTTGCTATTTAAAGAAAGACAGATGACATTAAAATGCTTAACCTGAAGCCAGAGTTTGTAGGGACTAAAAGTTAAAGATCTAAATAAATTTATTACATTTCTTTTATGCCATTGGATTTAGTTCTGGACTGTGCAGTTTAAACTGATATAGATGATTTAGATTGGATTCAGAGGAAATAGCTGCAAGCATCTGTGAGAAATCCAGAAAATAGATCCGTTAGTCAGAGCCTCTCATTCTTCAGGTGTGGCAAACGCAGTGTCTCAGGTTATAGATTTTCCAGGGTATTTGTGACCCCAGTGTTCCTGGCTATGGATCCTTCAGTAGGTTGGATCCAGCCTCAGACAAACATATCCACCTATCCCAATGTGCTTTACAAACATTGTCATTTTCTAAGTGTTCTATCTGCAAGGGGTTGGAAAGTACTGGTTTAGTCTCTACTTGAGAAATACACAGGATGGCCTACAAGCCCATATTCAGAAGATAAGTGAAAAAGTCAGTCAAATAAACATTTGTTCTACCTTTTTCCTAACACCTATTGACATGAGGCAAATGTACATTTGGGTTAGCTCCTAGGCACCCACAGACACTAAGCATCACATAGTAAAGAGTGGGACCAGCTGCTTTTATCATTTCACAGTAAAGAAACAATAAACCCACCTCCCAAATGCTCTTTGCCAATCTACACAAAGCCATCAAATTAAGCAAGGTCTTGTAGAATCTACCATTGAGGATCCTATGAAATAGATGTTGCTGAGATGTGCATGGAATCCAGCCTCGTGTGGCACACTTGCTCCATGAAGACTCTGACTCAGACTCCGTCCATGCTTGCTTTCTGTGAGGGCTGCATGCCTCATCAGCTTATAACTGAAACTCTGATACAGACCTGTTGGAGTAGCAGTTAGAAGGGTGAAGATCTGAGTTGTTTTCTAGTTACAAGCTAGTATCCTGAGAATGCATCGCACTTATTAATAATGATTAGATTACAAGAGCACATTTTCCATTTCTAAATCAGAGAGATTTATGAAGCTGTGTGGTCATGCCTTGTAGCTGATGTTTCCAATACAGAATAATCTAATTTCCTAGTGCAAATCACACTGATGTGACCTAGAGACATTTCTGTTGTGTCACAACAGCATTTAATTTGAACTGAAATTAGCCAGAATTACACCATGTTCCTGGCAAACGGTATGATCCAAAAATATCACCATAGTAACATGTGTATTCTATCAACAAGTCCCCTTCCATAATTTTTAAGGTCTCATTGTATCAATAATTCTGAAATGCATGAAAAAAGTCCTTTTGGAACACCAACCTGTTGCTCTAAGGTATTTGTAACTCAATTTAAATGACATATAGGGTTCTTTAAAAATATATTTCCCTTTACTTAAAGAAACATTTATGTGCTCATTAGGCCAGATCAACTTTGCAGATGTAGTGAGAGCTTCCAGAGATGTTTTATATGACCAAGTGCTGAAATTCATTTTCTTTTTACTGTTTCTTTCACCACCTTCTAAGAAATTATATGTTCATTCCAAGGAGTTAGGTCTCAACTGACCATGGCAAGGTAATTTTTAAAAGTGTGCTTCTTGAAGCTAAGAGAAATCACAGAGGAGAGACTGAAAGTTCATATTCTCAACGAGACTTCAGTTCTCACTTCAGCAATTGAAAGAGTAATCCCTTTTGATTATATATCTATGAAACAGAATTGGTCCTTCATAGGCTTAAAGCAGTTCATTTCCGCCCTTCATCAGCTAGGTTTGTTAAATGTTTATAGAAGTAACAATTTGTACAGGGACAAATTTGGAAAATGGTAATTAAATTTATTACAGTGTCCCTGGTTGATGTGTGGGTGGCTAGAAAGGGAAAGAAGAAAAGTGAAGAGAAGAGGGAGAGGGAGAAGAGGGAGAAGATAGAAAAGGAGAGAAGGGAAAACATTTCAATGTTATTGATTTTTACCAATGGGCATCGCATAATAACAACTGCATTTCAAAGTAAAGAAATACTGATTTTCCTGAAATAGGAGTAAGAGTTCTATAATGCTGAACACAAGAGTTTGCATGTGAGAGACAAATAATGACGAAGGAGGATGGGAAAGAATTAAAAAACAAGTTTTTTCAGAATAATTTCAAGAAGCTAGGAAAGGAAGTGCTTCAAAAAAAAACCTTGGTAAAGATTTGAAAAGCTCTCATCTGCAGTAATGGCCTATCATGTGTAGATCATGTGTGAATCCTGCAGTTTTTCTGTGTATTATAAGCATCAGCTTGATACCATTAAGAATGAAAAAAGGATTGTTTTGTA